GATCGCATGAAGTGTGACCTCTCGAACAGGATTGTTCTCTGTTGTTTTTGAAAAAAAGAAAAATGTGAAAAATCCTTGTAAAAACATTCGTCAAAGCGAAACAAACAAATACTCAGTACTATCAGAAATGCCTGAGTAGATGAAGTGGAAAGTACTTAAAAAGTGAAGTATATTCACTTTGGCAGGGTTCTCACAGGCTTTCACCATGGAAGAGCGTGTTGCCAGTACTGGTTTTATTCAGATATATTTGAAAGCTTCCGGAATTTTTAATATATGTATATTATCAAATATATAAGGCTGAGTAGAGGAGAATGGAGGACTTGTCAGCTCCGCATTAGTAGCGAGGTTCCGGTACTTAGCAACAACTTCATTTTTAAATGCGCCGATTTTCAAGCCCACATCCTTGGTGCGTTCAGCTCTTGCAGCATTTTGTTTATTTCACGCGAGCTGTTGGAAATAAGAAGTGCTCGACATCTATCTTCAAAACGTCTTTCCAATCCAGTTTCCGAAATACCATTTGGAGGCATAGTTCTCGTTAATCCCTCCATCTGCAAGAGGTTGCAGCGTTGCATTCAGAAGTTAACGACGTATATAAAACAAAACAGAAAAGAATAATGAAGTTAAAAAATACAGTAGTGGCGAGAATTACCAGTTAACAGCTCACCTAGACGCCAACATATAGAAGTAACTCTCAAATAGTTTTTTTTTTCACTTTTTTACCAGAAAGCTTTATTGCTGACTTCCTTTTTATGCGTTTTTTTTTGCAGCCATGCAATGCGAAAAACGCATATTGACGAGATGTTGTCCGTGTGTGTGTCTGTGTGTGCGCTGCTCGTCTGTATCGATTTTTCATCTCGAGACCCTCAAAAGTTACAGGGCTGAAAATTTGAGAACTTAATCTACATGCACGTACGGGCCCCTGTCCCCAAAATGGGCGGTCTTTCCCGCGCGGTACCCACGTAAGAGCCCGCCAAAGTTTTTTACGAGTAAGCTGCTAACTCGCGAACCAGAAAAGCTAGAGAGCTGAAATTTTTTGAGAGAGTTGCCCGTCCAAGTATGTACTAATGAGCCCAAACCCAACCCCCGAGTAAGCGTGGTACTCGCATACGGGCCCGCCAAAATTTTTCCCGCGTAATTTCATAACTCGGGGTTCTGAGATGCTAGAAAGCTGAAATTTTTGGGGAATGTTCCCCGTCCAAGCAGGTGCTAATGAGCTCAAATCCAGCCCCCGGGTAAGCGTGATACCTACGTACGGGCCCTTGAAATTTTCTTCCGAGTAAGTTGCTAACTCGGAAAAGTGAGAAGCTAGAAGATTGAGATTTTGAAGCTAGAAGATTGGGATGTTTCCTGACAGTCCTGACGGCAAATCTGAAATTCTTTTAGCTAGAAGCATCTGCCAGAAAAACCAGTGCCGTTAGCGACAAAAATCTGCGGGGGGCCATGCAAAAAACGCATCTTCGCACGGGCAGCCCGTGCGTTGGCCAATTATTTAAAAAGATGTGAGTTTACTTGAGTTCGGGTAAGTTTCATGATGAATATGGAAGAGAATTTAGAAATTAGCAGGAAAAATTTTTGTTAAAAACCGAATTCGTTGATAAAAAGGAGAAAAAAGCCGAAAATGGCGGTCGGCAAGCTCAGAACAGGTTTTTTTTCTTGTCAAATTTATTTCAACTGATAGGTATGGTGATATGCATGACAGCTGGGAAGAGTGCAAAACTCGTCTCTAGTCTTCTACTTGCTTCCCGATTTTTGCACCAGTATGGGGGACGATGGCGCGGGTGGCGTGAGGGGAAGAGGAAGCAAGGTGGGAGGTGATTGGGCATGGTTGTCAATTTACATTGTTGCCGGGAGCACTTGCTGATAGTGTCGTTCTCTGCTGTTTTTAGTGTCATGATTTGTGTGGAAATTTTCGATAATATTTTCATTACCGATTTTGTAATGTTCATTTTCATTCATTTTTGCTGTACAGCGCAATAGCGCTGGTACAGTGAGTGAAAACGCATATTGTCGAGGAGTCGACTTCATGACGAAACAATTCAAGGAACTAACAAATAGCGAAGCGCACTAGCGTAGCCGGTGCGATCATGCGTTTTGCGCAGTTCCGTCCAATGGACGTTTGCTTACTAAAAATATAACCGTTTTACACTTTCGTAAATAGTAGATATACCGTTTGGCTCCTAAGATGAGGAATTTTCCACTGAAAATTTCATGCGCCAGTACAAGAAAGCTGAATTTGAAAACATGGATGGGGAACATCCTTCCAAATTTCAACTTTGTAGTTTTTCGGCTTCCGAGCTAGCAACTTTCACATCACAATTCTCGCGTGGTCTTACGTAAGAAATCTGCATAATTGGGAGTTAAATTTGAGTTTGTGAGAAGCCTGCAGCGGCAGAGAAAATATCATCTTGGAATTTCAGCTTTCTAGCTTTCATGGTTCCTGAGATAATTTTCTCCCAAAACTTTCAGTGGGACGTACGCAATATCCAGACGCACGGGAAAACTGGATTTAAATTTTCTGAGTTGCACGTGGTCAAGGGGCATATCCATAACATTTCAACTCTCTACCCTTCGCGGATACTGAGATAATGATTTTACCCGTCAAAACTTTTTCGAGACGTACGTGTTACCCGCAGGGACGGGAAGTTAAGTTCTCTGGGTCGCATGTGTTCAGGGGGCATACGCACAAAATTTCAGCTTCTTAGTTTCCGTGCGAGGGAGGGGGGAGGGGGGATGGGAAGAATTCTGATTTCATCCGCTAAAACTTTTACGAGGCGTGTGGCGGGAAGGCTGAATTTAAATCTGCCGCGTCACACGTTGGCTGGGAAAACTATATTAAAATTTCAGCCGCATAGCTTTTGTTGTTCCCGAGTTGAAAGTGTGGGACAAAATGTGGGACACACACATAGGCAACCCCTGACAATGTGCGTTTTGTATTGCTGTTATACAGCACAAAACGCATTAAAAACTGTATGAGAGAGCGAATCAAAAATCAACTTTCTGAATTCTATGTATGTTGAAATCTGGTCTTCTTTTGACTCGAAAAGCAGACTTGGCGTAAGAAACTGCAAGATAATTTACCAGCTAATTTCGAACAGTGTTTCAAATCAATTTTCAGTCTCTGTACAATGGGCTATCACCAAAGTTCAAATACGGGAAAATTTTGCTAACTGAAAACAAAACAAGCTGGAATCTCAACATTCATTTAGCTTAGGCTCAATAAAACAGGAAGTCAGTGACATGGTTGTCGGCTACATCTTTGGAGGACATTTTGAATAAGAATTACTATTGAACTAGTAGCCGCTTTAAGTATAAAGAATAGGAAATAATTGAAAGAAGGGAAAAAAAGAGGAATGTGGGGAACCAGACTTGAGCCTTTACTGAAACTGCGCCAGTTCCTTAGTTATAGTCAGGTGTTCAAGTACAAATTGAGATATAACGCCAGAACGGATAAAGCCATGAATGTGGACCTCCCGTATTTTTTACTTATACATTGATTTAACTAAATAAGTCAAAAAAGAAAAAAAGATTTATGCAAGTTTTGACACACACTAAGTGTTTGCAACAATTTGTTGTAAAATTGTGGTGTTCCAATTCTCCGACATTGGAGGTCACTAAAAAAATTTACCATAAACGTAGTTTGTTTTTTTTTACTCCGGAACACGTCTATGAATGCTTTTTGCTGAGTTCTTTATCAGTACAACTGTTTTTTACTTATTTGAGACGCATCATTTGCCGTTTATCAGTGCATCTGTTGGCCACTGTCGCTTATCAACGACCCCTTTGCTGCTTAAAAGTACTGCTATTGGCAGTAGCGACAATAGCAGTAACAACAAGAACAGGATGCTCTTCAACATCAACAGATTTCATTTATTTGTGCTACTTACCTGGCAATTTAGTATTTTCTTTGCCTCACAAATGATTTTTCCAATCTTCTCGAACTATGTACCACCGTGGCGTTGCAACGCAAACCAATCCTTTTCCAGCAACTGTACTATCTTTATGTCCTGTAAGGATTCAGTCCAGTTCGATGAGGTGCGTGTAT